TTTACTAAGCAGATAAAGTCTGAAAAAGGAGTGGTTTTAATTGAGATTTGGCTGGGCAAAAGCCTAAGACTTAGCTATTTGCCTTTTTTTAATTTTTGCATTAAAGGATAAAATCCATGACCACAGGCTCAGAAGTCTTGCAACATTACTGGATGTAAGAGGCACAAAAGTCAAAGAACATGTTCTACCACTATCTCGTGTCAGACAACTCGTTATGCGATCGACAGAGTTGATGTGTGCTATATGTTAAAAACGTCAGAATGCCGTTTTTAGTATTCTAATGCATCTCAGGATGTATATAAAAGAATAAAAGAAAATATAAAAGAGGGGCTTTTGTTTCTCCAAACAGAAATAACTCCTTGTCATATCTTTTTACACTTCGAATAAGAGCTTATTCTACTGTTCTTGTCTTTCTTCTTTGATACGTTTTTTTAAATTAATATTTGCTTTAGCTCCTAATTTCTCCAAAACAAGAGAAGATTTACATTACGATTTACATCAAATTTACTTCTAAAGACTGAAAAGCCTGCTGTGTGAGTATTTTTTCCTGTTTCTCCACTACGATCTCATTTTTTCTAGGATTTATTCTTTTGGCCATCAGTCATGTCAAAGCACGTTTTCCATCATGTGTCAAACAGGAATGCCTTGCTTTCACAGCCATGAATGGGGTGTGGCTAAAAGTATAACATATTTCAACACTAGAATAGTTTAACAGCTACTTTCTGTGTGCTCAAATGTCTTGAGCAACTTTCATCATGTCATCATCATGGTGTGGATTACATATCTTTTATTGTCAGTGATAAATGTGTGTTTTGAAATTCTTTCTCCACTTTTTCTGTGCAGATTTATTTATTTAACTGTCACTGGGCTCCTCACTGTTTATTTGTGTCAGTCTGACGCCTATCGGCAGAATGACACAATAGTTCAAGGATTCCTTGCCTCCCATAAAGAAAGATTCTTTTAAGTGTTGCTAAATTTCATAAATTGCTAAATGTATCTGATACAAGCTGTTGTTTGTCTCTGTACATGTTTTTTTTTAATAAACTGTCAACAAATTCCATAAAAATACAAAAAACTACAAGGCAGTTGTCTCTGTGACACTCAGCCCCAAGTCTATTATTGCCTATGGTCTTTAGAAAATTATAAGTAATTTCCTAACAGCTTGACACTTAGTTTTAGCAAAAGCTATAGCACCTGTATATATTGCACTGTGTATATGGAACTGACTCAAAAAACACTACAATGCCCATGTTCATCGTAATGAAGGAACATGTCAGCTGGGCAGTTCATTGATGGGTTTCTAATTATTTGCGACGGAAGGCACAAAGCTATCAGGTTTTTGATACACATACAATACCTGATAGTATAGATAGCTTCAGTGTGTTGTTTTGTTTTGTGTTTAGGGTTTTTATGGGATTTGTTGACAATTCTAAAAATATAAATATCACCAGATCTCTCCCGTAACAAAAGGATGTCTCAAGCAGTTGTCTCTAAACATAATCCTGGAAGGTACTACATTATCAATACAATGTAAATATTATTAAGAATTTGGTAATATACAAATATAATTTCTAGAAGACAGGGTTGTATACAAAGTATCTATATATAATATCGCACATAACTAAAACAAGCAATATTGCTACATTTATATCATACATTTATATAGATCAATTTCACCTTTACTTACCTTTATACCTGTCTATCTATCAAATAAAAACATGACAGTATTATTGACAGGACTGGAGTTTTTATTTGAGACTTGAGACAGTGAATGCATGTTGAAGTAAATGTTACAAAACTGTATTTAGGACAAGACTGCACTTGTTTTTGATAGTGGCAAAGCATGACTTGGAAAAAACAATTACTATGGTACTTGCATATTTTGAGGTTCTAACACCATTCATGATCTTTGTCAGTAGAAGCCTTATCTATATGCAATAATTTTGGCTAAACAGATATATTTCATCATGATGTACACACTGCAATATTTAGTTGAACATTGCATCTCTAGCATACTTCTTATGATCTCACTGCACTTGTCCAACAACGATTAATATTTTGAGGGACTGGGTCAATCAGAGTGTCATGTCAGTGTTTTACAATCAGTGGCGAACATCTTGGCGGACTTCTTCCTCATCCTCTATTTCATCTTCTTCATATTCACCTATCTCATCAGCAGTGGCATCCTGGTACTGCTGATATTCAGACACCAGGTCATTCATGTTGCTCTCGGCCTCAGTGAACTCCATCTCATCCATTCCCTCTCCAGTGTACCAGTGGAGGAAGGCCTTGCGGCGGAACATGGCTGTGAACTGCTCTGAGATCCTCCTGAACAGCTCCTGGATGGCCGTGCTGTTACCAATGAAGGTGGCGGACATCTTGAGGCCACGGGGAGGGATGTCGCAAACGGCTGTCTTGACATTGTTGGGAATCCATTCAACAAAGTAGCTGCTGTTCTTGTTCTGCACACTCAACATCTGCTCATCCACTTCCTTCATTGACATACGGCCACGGAAGATGGCTGCAACAGTGAGGTAGCGTCCATGACGAGGGTCACAGGCTGCCATCATGTTCTTGGCATCGAACATTTGCTGTGTGAGCTCTGGCACAGAGAGGGCACGGTACTGCTGACTGCCCCTGCTTGTGAGGGGCGCAAAGCCTGGCATGAAGAAATGCAAGCGGGGGAAGGGCACCATGTTGACGGCCAGCTTACGGAGGTCAGCATTGAGTTGGCCAGGGAAGCGGAGACAGGTTGTTACCCCGCTCATGGTGGCTGATACCAGGTGGTTGAGGTCTCCGTAGGTAGGTGTGGTCAGCTTCAGGGTGCGGAAGCAAATATCATACAGGGCCTCATTGTCAATGCTGAAGGTCTCATCTGTGTTTTCCACTAGCTGGTGGACAGACAGAGTGGCGTTGTAGGGCTCCACCACAGTGTCAGACACCTTTGGAGAAGGCATGACACTGAAGGTGTTCATGATACGGTCAGGGTACTCCTCACGGATCTTGCTGATGAGCAGTGTACCCATTCCTGAACCTGTGCCCCCACCCAGTGAGTGGGTGAGCTGAAAGCCCTGGAGGCAGTCGCAGTTCTCAGACTCCTTCCTCACCACGTCCAGGACAGAGTCCACCAGCTCAGCTCCCTCGGTGTAGTGACCCTTGGCCCAGTTATTTCCTGCTCCACTTTGACCTGCATGATGCATGTAATGTTTAGAAACAAATCATGTTGGACAAATAATGGTAGCGTTTTCTGCTAAGGCATACTATATAATAGTATCATAATGTCTACTAATGTCTTTATTGATTGATTGCCTTAAAATTTCAAATATTCATGGTCCCCAGAGGGTATATTCTAATGACTTTGGTAATCCCTTAATGTTTCCTGTAGCGTCACCAGGAGGTTGACCTTTGTGGTTTTTAGTTAAATATCTCAAAAACTACTGGATGAATTGCGATTAAATAAATTGTGATAACTTTGACTAGCATTTAGCTCAAAGTACTACTGTTCGCAAGGACAGCCTCACAGAGCTGCTAGCATGGCTGAAGACTCTTAGTGTTTACAACCTGGCAACCCAAATATGTCTACGATATTAGAAATACTTATCTATAAAGCTATAATATATAATGTATTAACCTTTAAGAAACCCATTTGTTACAACATATTCATTACAACCTTTATGAAGTATACATTGTTTGAACCAAGCACCCAAATGTCTCATTATAAATGTTGTAAATGAGAAAAATTTAAAGAACTTGTGCAGCCATTAATATATTTACATTTGTTCTTTAGCTCTTTTAAGTTATATGCATGGTAAATGATATATGTGGTGAGCTTTAATTCTTTGGTTCAGAATTAGTGACATAAATTATCATAAAGCCTAAAGACAGTTCCTCTGTTTGTGTATTTTCTAATAAGGAAAAACGGAGAGTCAGCCTGTGGTTGGCCCCTGTATCCTCACTTGCTGCCCAACACTGCAGCATCATCTCCTTTCTCTTTTGCTGAGTCACCTCGTGAGCTGTCACAGCTGCGCATGGACAATGCATCACACTCCTGGCACATCACTGAGAGGCTGCGGAAGCTTTGTGCTAGGAATATACACTACTGTGTGATGCTCTCAGGTGAAACTAAACACAGCTTTACAGGATGTGACAGCAGCTGCTGACACAGTTGGTTCAGTTGGTTCAGGATGAGTGGTGACACCATGTTTTATTGTCCACTCACCAAAGACAAAGTTGTCAGGCCTGAATAGCTGTCCAAATGGGCCGGAGCGAACTGAATCCATGGTTCCTGGCTCCAGGTCGACCAGAATAGCACGGGGGACATATTTGCTGCCTTTGGACGAAAAAGAGCAGAGAATAGAGGGATAGAGAGAGGTAAAGGATGGGAGGGTGGACTAAGATATCGACAGTCTCACTGTGCATGATGTCAGAACATTTGTAGTGAACCATGGAAAAAATGTGGCTGTATTTTGAAAGATTCTTTTCTCCATATTAAATCTTCTGATTGATATTAATACAGCAGTGCTGTTTGCGAATGTAATCTTTTAGGTAAACAGGGTTTTGTTTAAAGGATACTACAGTCTGTTCATCAAGCTGTATATTTAAAGACTGCATAGTGCCTTCTATTGTTAGTTTCTTTGCTCCACCCTCTCTGTCTGTAACCCTTCTTGCAAGCAAATGGCCTCATCATGCTGCACTGCTTATTCTAGACCAGTGGGCCTTTCAAAGTGCTGAGCTCTGCAGAGTCCATTCAAACAAAGATGCAGTCTTCCCCTGCCCATACCTATTTTCTCTCATTGTCTTGTCTACATAAGTTTTAATGTTGCTAGTAAACATCTGCCACTCTGTTAACTTATGGGCTCCTCATTCAATCCACATGCAATAGTCACCCAGTAGGTGACACTGATGCCAGCATGCAACATGGAAACAAATAATCAATAATGCCTGCTGCTAGGAAATAGGATATGGGTAGACACTAATAGTAGGTATGTTGTTTAGGCAAGCCTTTCAATCATCCATTGCAGTAGGAAGGGTTTGATCTCAATCGTGGATTGAGATTTGAACTGACTTGCCCTTCTCTGACAACAGAGGCTGAAGCACTAGGCACAGAGCTGTATGATCATTGTTTGACCGGTCAGTGCCCAGCAGCTGTGAGGAATGACACGCGATGCATTTGGAATGACCTTCAACATGCCACGCCAAATAAAATCAGATGCTGAGGTGAGACCAATGCACAGTGAGCTCAGAGTCAACTATACAGAGACTGCAGATACCTGTACTCCCTACAGAGGGAGAGAGAGAGAGAGAGAGGCAGAGAGAGAGAGGGAGAGAGAGGGAGAGAAAAAGAGAGAGAGATTTTAGCAGATTCACTGTCCTAATTTCCCCTGCACTCATGGTGGGACCTACTTTCCCGTTGCAGCTAAATTAGTGACATGAGTATACTGTGGCATTCAAATGAGGTCTATAGCATATGGTCATGCAAGGTTAATAAGCAATGGAAACAAAGCTTCATTTAATGGTACATTATTCAGATGCAAACATATGGTTTATTTACAAACAAACTTAAACATTTCTTTTTACCTGATGCCTCATTGTAGTAGACATTTATCCTCTCAAGCTGCAGGTCACTGTCACCTTGGTAACTACCAGTGGGATCGATGCCATGCTCATCACTTATCACCTCCCAGAACTAAGAGGGGGACAGATATTAATTGTTTGGGGTCATGCATCAACAAAACGTGGCGTGAAAACGAATTAAAGCGTGTGCGTCAGGCCTTATTTTAGTAACTGCGCATCTGCTGAGAAAATGACACGCAGCAGAGGGGGGCCACATCACTGCAGCCGCTGACTCGGAGCAAAGCCCTGTCAGACTGAACCGCACCCTGCACAAAGCCTGTATAAACAACTATTACACGATCTATCGCAAACTTTATTTTAAAAGATATTTCTTTCTCTCCAAGAGACGCCAAACAAAACTTTTACATGACCCGAGTCTATAGATGAATCAACAACAAAAAAAATCCCTGGAAAATAACACGTGGAGTTCCGCATTAAAATTAAAATCACCTCGTTCATTTCCCCCCATCCTAAATTAAATGATAATATTCATACCTTCGCCCCGATCTGATTTCCACATTGTCCAGCCTGGATATGAACGATTTCCCTCATGATGCGCTGCGGATGCGGGCAGAGAGTGTCCTGTCTCGATTTCACCAGCGTCCAGTCTTCAGTCTCTTGCTGCTGTGTTTCTCTAAATCAGCACTTGCCTCATTTCTAGGACGGGTGTTGAGCCGGCGAGATAGATAAACGTGCTGCTGGTCAGATGACGTTTCACACAGCGCAGCATCCCAGCATCCCTGTCAGCCAATAGGAGCGCCCCGGTTTGATGCAGTGGACCAGAGGATCATGCCGCATCATCCCCGACATCACCCTGTCCTACGCAGGAAAAATTTCACCTTTTTTTCGCTGTCCTGAGGTTGTTCTATAAACCTATCAGTGCATTTATCAGTGTAATACTCAAGACTGCAGTTCTACTTTTGCTGATTCAGTCAGAACCAAGCCATGTTTAGGAGCAACTGCTACATGTGTACAAAACAGCCTGCTGTTTCAAACTCCAGGTTGAAAAAATATTATTTGGTATTTTGATAATTTCCACGAGGAATTGACTAAATAAACTTGACTATAAACTCATTTTTATGATATATATGAGATTATATGAGATTTTCATGTTTTAGTTTGAATAATGCAACTGCTCCCATGAGTTGAGAAAATGCTACCCAGGGCTAACTCACACCCACCACCCTATACCCCACTCACAGCATCCCCATTTTGGTTGTAATAAACTGAATCAACCACAATTTTGTTAAATAATATGCACCTTGTATAATATCAACTGAAATGTTAGATTTTACCATAGAGACCTCTGTTAGACAGGTCTTCAACAGTAGGTAAAAAGCAGGAGCCATCTTGGTCAGGGCCCTTAGTTTTTAGCCATGCTAGCTTTGGTCTGTGGGTCGGTCCACCACTTTAGTCCAGACTGAAGTACATCTATAGTCATTCATGGTCCCAAGAGGATGAATCCTAATGGTGACACCCTGAAGTTTCTTTTAGTGGCACCATGAAGTTCACATTTGTGATTTGAAGTGAAATTTGGTAAAGACATTCAGTGTAAAACTGGATGAGTTAGTTCAACTCAAATTGCTTGAGGAAACCAGGGATCGCCAAAGCTTCACGAGGGGGTCGCAAGGCCTTCTTGATTTTAAGGGGTGTAGGAAAAATTTCAAAAATATGCACAGAAGGCCTATATCTCAACATTTGGTTCGCTTCTGTGAAGAAAACAAAATGTAAAGTAAATTGTTAAGTAAATTGTCTAACAGAACGATGGCCAAGCATCAAGTAGCCTACAAGAAAACACTGAATTTGTATGATCGTTAAAAAAGATTAAAGAAAATACATAATAAAGATAGAGAATTGTATGAAAAGTTCCCTAAATAGGGAATAATCTGCTCAATTATTACCTCAAACAATTTAAGCATGAAACAATATTTTATTTGAGTACAAGTAACTCAAGTATTTATTGTTAAGGTGACTTGGGTAACTTAAGTTAATTTAACCAATTTCATTCAGTTAACCTTTAGATGCATAAGTATTTTCTTGCAATATCTTTGTAATCAATACATGGAATTATGAGAAACGATACAACTTTTCATTACAAAATATTTGCAAGAAAACGACCTCCGCCCGGTCATTTTAGAACCCACTTTATGCATCTAAGGGTTAAAAGTCGTTTAACTTGAATTAATCTGCGCTTGCCACTTTTCCAAACTCGTGACCCTCCATTTTTCAGCCCCCTTCTGGCCATCACCGCAGGAATGTCAATATAAGATGCCAAAGCTTAATTGATACGGAACCTTATTTTCAGCGTCTCTACCACCCAAAAATGGGACGTTTAATTAAAAACACGCTACTGTTTGACTTTGACAATTGCAGGCACAACCATCATTTTTGGTTGGGGTTTGCCCATATTTTATTAAGAAAAAAACTAAATAATGTGTGACATTGAAGTGGATCAAAACGAACTCGTTTTGTTGAAAAAGAAAGTAATTAATTCTTCTATATCGTTTGGCAAAATCGTTGCTCTAATTTTCTGCGCTCAGTTTGGCCTATGATATGGTGGAGGTCGGTGTTTGGTAAGCCTATCAACATTATCTATCCATATTTTCTCACAGAAGCAAACCACTTACAGTAATGGGCTCAGCTTACATAACTTCCATGTCTCTACTGCAGTTATTACAGACCACCTTCCCACCTTTCTTACACTGGTGCTTAATTATTAAGGGTCTGGGCGGCATAGTGGTGCGCCGGCGGTCGCTGATACTTGTGGAGCACTGCCTTCCTATACTTAAATATTATGTCCATAACCATAAAACATTCAACTCCACATAATAGCCAAGTGTTGCTGGATCTGGCCACAGTAGCCGCCCAAGGGTCCCGGTGCAGTAAAACCGCCCTGAGCCGCCAATTTAGGGTGCGAGCGGACCCTGGGGCAAGAAATAACTGGACAGAGGCTGGCCGACTGAATGAGAGCCAGAGCCACAGCTGGATGCGGGTAAGCGAGAGTGTTTGTTGCCTACATACCCGCCCCAAAAAAAAACATCACACACACACACACACACACAGTGGACATGTTCCATGTGGGACACGCATACTGTACTGTATCATGCCCCCTTCCCCCCAAGTTGCCCAGAGCCTCCTCTAGGACGCTCAGTGTGGGCGCCACAATATCCACTCTCCCCTCTTTTCCATCTCTTCCCTCAAACTGCTCTCGCACCACACTTGATCCACCATCTCACCAGTAAGGCATATGCTCCATCATTTGCCTTGAGGCGGACAAAGACTGGGAAGGAATTCAAGCGAGACACTGTAGCCACTTCTCTGCAAGACTCTTTAAAAGGAGTGCGTATGTGTGTGTATTAAATAGTGTTCAGCTTGCACAGTGCTCCCTGCCTGTAAAATAGCAAGGAAACACTATACAAGTCTAAATCTGCGACTTGGTATATAAATGTTACATTGATTTCAAATGAAGAGAAGAAAACATCAGTCATGGTCTTTACATGATAAATTTGCCTCCTCCAAATTATGTCTAAAAGGGGTTACATGTCCACATGCCATTTAAGCATTTGTAAAAAGCATGGTGGCTTTTGAGATGTGAAGATGTCTTTATTTAAAACTTTAAAACAGCCTTTTTCCTCCACATGAAGGTTAGAAGCCACCTGAGACTAAAATCTCTGTCTGCTCCCATTCTGATGCCCTTGGGAGCTTTTTATAAGGTCTTTTCAACCCTCTGAAGCGATAAAGGGATTAAAACCGTTTGCAGTGAATTACGAGAGCCAAACCCAGAGAGACTCGTTTAACATGAGAAAAAAAAAAAAAGCCTAACTCATATTTTTAATATAACTGGTCATTTTACTGTATTATTTTTGTCTCTTTCTGTCACCGGACCACTAAATAAAGAGTCAGCAAAAAAAAAGTGCAATTGTAACCGAGCAGCAGCTCCTTCGCCAGTTGACATTACAGGAATTTACGATGTGTTAAATGGTTTCCTTTGTTCCTCCCTGTGGCAGCTCCGCTCCGGCAATTTAGGGAAGGCAGCGGCCTGCAATGAGCTCATCTATCTCCTCCCCCTCTTCACAGTGTCTTCATCAAACATTAATTTTTTGTTGGTGTAATTACTTGATTGATGATAACTTCAAGCAGTAAGTCATATCACATGCCTTGCAATTCAGCACCATTTTAACGTAGTTCATAAAAAATAAACCTGCAATTGCCATCTTTGTCTCCTGAAAGAAAGCATGACTTGTGTTACCTACCATCTTACCAGAAGAGATTAATTTAAATATCACTTTTTGCTTTTTCTTTTTCAATATTGTGGTAAAATCTGATAAACCCAACCTGTGGCCCTTTGCCAAAGTCTAAAAATGCCAGCAGACTTTTTTTTCTGTGCACTTGAACCCTGAAATAAACCCATGCCCGCCATCCATTTTGGCAAGACCAATTTGGGATTGAGGGTGGGGGCAGGAAAGAGACGAGGTATAGGTTAGCTGTTAGTTTAATTAATCATAAATCACCTCTTGAAATGCTGCCCATGTCACATGCCAAGACTGCGCACCACTAATGCACCAGCCCCATCTTTCACCGGGTATCTTTTTATCTGTGTGCCCTGACACTCGAACTCTGGAAGCGTCCTCGTCGTTTTACGTCGTCAGCACCTCAGCCCGCCCTGAGCCACAAGTTCCTCACATTATCTATAAATACCAGCCAGCTAAATGGCATCTTTCTCTCACCCACCCCCCTGCTTGGGCAGGAACCCCAGGGGCTCTGTTGGACTTAGGCAAAGGAAGCCCGCAGTTCTTTGCCACTAAACATCTTGGGCTTAGCCCCCCCACCCCCAGCGGTCACCCTCCGGAGAAACAGCTGGCTAAAAAAATAGATCCATCTGCCACTCGCCTTCAGATTCCAAAGTGGTTGGAGTTTAATTAAACAAGTTGAAATTGGTTTTCCACAAGATTTAGTAAAACGCGTACGCAAACATTATTCACTTAAAGACCCACTTGTTGGATTTATTCTCCTCCTTTT